TAAAGCACTTAGCCCCACCTATGTAAATTCTTTCATGATTGACTTCGGTGTTTATGGTTGAATCTTTATCATATTATAAGGACACAAGAACGGAATCCAAATGTGTGAAAATAACAAAGACCCAGTCTGCTTCTCTAAGAATGATATTCAGTTAAAATTTAGGGTGATGGGGGTTGGTATTCACGAAAGAGGATCTGCGTACACTAAACGACAGTCTGAATAATGTCTCTAGCTTTATAATGCTCAAAAGGTTCTAAGGTTCTAAAATTTGATAAAAGTCAACTTGTTTGCTAGAATAGCAGTCAAAGAAATTGACCTAGTTTGCCATCTAGCAAAATAATATTTGCACTTTAAGGAGTAGGAGAGTAAGAGTATATAAAAATGGGGCCTACATAGCTATATGGTTATATACTGTCGTATACCACTAAAATGATTAGGTACAAGCTGAAAATATGTATGTCGACATATCATTATACAACCACTTTTATGAGCATTTTTAACGAAAGTACAAGCTGTTAAAGCATTATTACACTATTATCCACAAGCCAATCCAAAACCAAAGTAAAGAGAACCTGTCGTAAATTAATAAGCGAAGAAAGTGTGTTGATTGGCACTAGGCATTTTTAAATTAAATTAAGACATCCTCAGCTGACATTGCTTATGATACACAATCGCTGAAACTGTTACACAATTCAAATTGCAAAACCCAAAACCAGCGTTATATTTGTAATCTACAACACCTACTAACTTATTTTGACTTATCTTTAGTGCTACCAGTGATCAGCGCTTCGCACAAACATTTATTATGAAACTCTGTTATCTAAGCTTGTACGAATATTCTATTTAAAATTAGCTGCCCTTCCCCAATGCTTAAATAAATTTTAGGCATTTTGAAACACTATCTTACCACGTATTAAGCAAATTTAAAAAAAAATCTCAGAAACTTGCTTCCAAGATGTGCCAAAAATGCATATGTATGTACATGTATGTATACATATAAACATTCACAAACTACTGTTACCTTATTTAGCATATCGTATGCAGCTTAAGTCCTAGAATAGTACACGTGTAATTTTTTGTCTTTATAACTTTTATACTACTAAACATATTGAATATCTTTTTTGTGAGGTAAAAATAATGAATGAATAAAGAAAACTGCATTTAAACTTTTTTTGTTGCTCTTCTGCCACCAAGTTATTTTCGTTACCAAAGAATATTTTAGAAGCTTTGAGAAGGCATTGTTCGTATATATTCTATTCTAGAAGCTACATGTAAATTTTGTGACCTTGGATCATAATTTTTACTAAATTTGGTGAAAAAAACACGATTGTGATATTGATTTTTATCGATTACTTGGAAACGGGACAAGTTATCGATTATCGGAAACAAACACGTGCTGCTCGGGCACTAAAAGGGCCTACGTAGCAAATTTCAAGTCTCTAGCTTGTATAGATCTAATATCCTTGCGTTCATACATACGGACTGACGGACGGACGAACGAACGAACAGACGAACTTCGCTACATCAACTCAATTATTCATGCTGATCAAGAATATGTATACTTTATGGGGTCGGAGCTGTTTCCTTTTACCTGTTATATTATATTATATACATTTGCACATATACATTATACCCTTTTTACCCATTTTTAATGGGTGCAGCTTATGTCAATGCCAAATGTCAAGCAAAACTAAAAGTTTACATCGACAAACATTTATTTACACCAATCTTAAAATACTCCAGATACTCTAAATTATATATATTAATAAGTATATACAATATATATTGCAATTTATAATATATACTGATATACAGATACAATATACATATGTAATAAATTTAATTAAATAATTGACAATATTAATGGTATATAATAATTCAGTAAAGCCTTAAAAGAGGCAATTATTTCAAACAGCAGCAACGGCTAAAAGTGGCATGCAGAATTCTCTTGAAAGAACGCGACACACCAGCACCCGAAATGTGCGCCAAAAGTATTTATGCTTTGGAATTTTATTTTTTGCAATTTTGGCACATAACACTAGGTTTTAAATGCACACTAATTTTTCGTTAAGTTGCTGACACGAATTTTCACCCTTAAATATTTAAAATGCGTGCAAATAATAATTTTTCAGAAAACGGAAAAGCTTGGCAACTCGATGAAATCATAAGTTATCGATTACATTTTGTGCTCAATATTCTTAAAGCTTGGCGCCTTTTTTGGAATAGAGTTGCAAGCGCAATAATCTAAATTGAATTAATAAAATATCTAACTAAATATTGACTCAAAATTTATATTTATTTATCTCTATATATAAAACTGTTTGTCCTCACTGACTGACTGACTGACTGACTGATTAGTGATCAACGCACTGCCCAAACCGTAAGAGCTAGGAAGGTGACATTTTTACTGTAGTTACCTTATGTGATGAAGGTGCATGTTAAGACGGGGTTTCGGGAAATTCTTCCCGCAAGTATGGAAAAATCGCGAAAAACGTTTGTATGTAACTTTTTTGTTTACCGTGTGGCCTCAAACTCAATTTCAAAGTTCTTTGTTCAAATTTATTTGAGGCGTGTTTCGTACTTTTCAAAAATGTATTCCTCCTTGGTGGAAATGGGGGTCAAAGATTTGGTAGGTGACGTTTCGCTCTCGAATTCATTTTCAAAGCTCTATATGAAAAATCATTTGAGACGTGTTTCACATTTTTCGCAAAATTTAAACTCCTTCGGCAGAAATGCGATTCAAAGATGTTTTGGGTGATGTGTTCAGTGATGTCCGATTTGCTTCAACCTTATTTTTAAAGCTCTACATAAGAACTTAATGAATACGTGTCTTAGCAATTTGGAAACTCCACCCACAAAAGTGGCTAATAAGCGAAAAACGTTGGATTCGTCACCATCGGATCGGCCTCATACTTATTTTCAAAGATTATTGCTAAAATTTATTAGAGGGGTGTTTCACACTTTTCGAAAAATCCATTCCTCCTTGGTGGAAATGGAAGATCAAAGATTTGATGGGTGGCCTTTTGCCTTCAAATTCATTTGCATGGATCTACATAAAAAAATTATTTTTAGAGGTGTTTTACAATTTTTGCGAAATTTAAGCTCCTTCGGTGGAAAGTGCATTTTAAAGTAATATTTTGAGAATTTTAATCTGAGTCCGATTTACATCAAACTTATTTTCAAAACTCTATATAAGAATATAATGAATACGTGTTTCAGCGATTTGGGAAATTTCACTCGAAACAGTGGTAAAATGACTGAAAACGTTTGCATGAGAGTAGTTTTCTTACTGTCCGCTCAGTTTCAAAATCATTTTTAAAGCTATTCGAGAACACTGATCTTATAATATATGTGCCACGGTACATATTTTACATGTGTGTACATAGTTTTATGTAGCTATGAATGGATATTTTCCACTTACAAACATGTGCTTGCACGCCATTGGCTGAGATAAAAACTTCTCTCCCGAACATACACCGTCCAAAAACAAAAGTGAAATCAATCTACATATGTGGTCTATTTTCTTAACATAGTTATTGCACAAAAAGCGATTTGTGTTAAAATGATTTAATTCTTGAATTTTCCTGTAAGAATTAATCGTTAGTATCGAGAGTAATATATCATTTAAATAAAGTAATATAGGTTGCCGGCTAACTTTGTTGCCCGAGTTAGCATCATCAAGCCGCGACTTCTGGATTCGTTCGTCTGGATTTTGGAGAGCGAATAGCCGTCGGCAGTCATCTCGTGCGAAGCTTCGAAGGCCAGATAAAAGGCCAGGCTACAAATTTTGCGTCGCATTCAAATTTATGTGTGTTACTCATCTTAGTGTTTATATTGTCTTTGGTTCTGCACTCTTTAACAGCTTGACAAACAAATACTGAAATCGGGACTTATTGGTAGTGAGATGCCCTTGTCACAGTCAATAGCGTTTGAGGTATATAAACATAGGTATATTCACAATTTAAAATACTTACAATGCTTGTCTTACAAGCCTGCTTTGTTCGGCGTAGTGTTCGCAACTAGTTTTTGAATCTTAATAGTCCTCGATTTCCACATCTGTTTTCTATACCCTGAACTTATTTAAATTTATTTAAATAGAAATTATTTGTACAAATGTATGTATGCAGAAGAAGTATCTTCGATCCCATTAAGTAAATATATATTCGTAAGCAGCATCGAACAATCTAGATCCATATTTACGCTCTTAAAATTTAAGAAGTTATTTAGCATTTAGTTTGTGGCAATTGCGGAAGAGCCTCCATACAAGCATGTTTGCGTATGGTAAAGCTTAAGGCTATGCCTATGTTTACTTAATTTTTTAACAACATTTTCAATTAGTTTATAAGTTTTGTGTAACGTCTCTATTGCTTTCCGCCCATCCGTTTGTTCGGATGAGTCTTATTGTTTGTAAATTTATTAAAACTTTAATCTTTATGGTCAACGAACCTCTAACTATTCCGCAATGTCCACGTCTAAGTATAAAAACATTTGGTTTCCCTTAAATTGTACGGGATAACTTAGACTTAATAAACCCATATACGCTCATATACGCTCATATAAAGCGTCAGTTGTCCATAAGACGTGCCGCAAAGATGATAAACACCGCTTACCAAATGCTCTCTGATCTCGTTGATAATGGCTATCTTAATTATTTTTCACGAAAACGTGTTTCTTATGTTTTAACTTCGTTCACGTAGCGAAAAGCTTTGGTTCAATGTCCTGCAGAAAACAGATTGACAGAAAACTATTGAAATCACGCACACTCCTTATAAATTGCATATGTTCATTTTTGAGAGTCGCTGCATGAAGCACTAAATAGTTGGATAGACTATTATAAGCAGAGTATTACGCAAACGGTTGCAACTGATTTAAACGATCTTGTTTATATTGCTTTATGGCCACTCGCACAATCCACATAACAATATCAGCTTTCAGATTGCCGCTTGATTCATGTTGCCCATTAAAATGGGCATGGGTTTCGACAATCGGGTTTAGTCGCATTTAGCAGACACAGCTGGAAACATTAAGTGTGAAGTTGCAAGTAAGATGGAAAGTCAGATTCAAATTAGTCATTACTGTTTGGTAAAGTGATTAAAGTTTAAAAACTTAAACGCATATTCTGATTTTATTGAACACTTTTCGTGTAATCGAGGAAATAACGTGGTAAAGTCAAAACCTCAGGTAAAACTTAAAATTATATCAATTTATAATGTTGACTGAACGATTAATCCACTGAATAACGATAATAATAATGAAGAGTGATTCATATTCTTCAAAATTGTGGGCATTACTTTAATAAGCCTCAGAAACTTTAATAAGCATCATTAAGACCTTATTAGCATACTAGCATATTAAAGCACTTAGCCCCACCTATGGTAAATTCATTCATGATTGACTTCGCTGTTTATGGTTGAATCTTTATCATATTATAAGGACACAAGAACGGCATCCAAATGTGTGAAAATAACAAAGACCCAGTCTGCTTCTCTAAGAATGATATAGAGTTAAAATTTAGGTTGGTATTCACGAAAGAGGATCTGTGCACACTAAACGACAGTCTGAATAATGTCACTAGCTTTATAATGCACAAAAAAAAAACCCCCCCCAATATTGATAGAGAATAATTTATCGTTTATTAAGCAAACTAACACTGTGCGGGCACTAGAAACAACAATATTCGAAAATTCATGTTTGTAAACCTTACAGGTTTCTAAATTAACGTTTATATACAACATACATTTTCACAAAATCATTATACATTATTTACCTATTGTAAAATTCATATTTCGTTCGTTTTAAGACAGCTCTAAGGTTCTAAAATTTGATTATAGTCAACTTGTTTGCTAGAATAGCAGTCAGATAAAGTGACCTAGTTTGCCATCTAGCTAAATAATATTTGTACTTTAAGGAGTAGGAGAAGTAAATTCATACACAGCATTAGAGTATATAAAAATGGGGCCTACATGGTTAGCTCTATGGTTATATACTGGCGTATGCCACTAAAATGATTAGATACAAGCTGAAAATATGTCGACATATCATTATACAACCACTTTTATGAGCATTTTTAATGAAAGTACAAGCTGTTAACGCATTATTACACTATTACCCACAAGCCAACCCAAAACCAAAGTAAAGAAAACCTGTCGTAAATTATTAAGCGAAGAAAGTGTGTTGATTGGCACTAGGCATTTTTAAATTAAATTAAGACAGCCTCAGCTGACATTGCTAATGATACACAATCGCTGAAACTGTTACACAATTCAAATTGCAAAGCCCAAAACCAGCGTTATATTTGTAATCTACAACACCTACTAACTTATTTTGACTTATCTTTAGTGCTACCAGTGATCAGCGCGTCGCACAAACATTTATTATGAAACTCTGTTATCTAAGCTTGTACGAATATTCTATTTAAAATTAGCTGCCCTTCCCCAATGCTTAAATAAATTTTAGGCATTTTGAAACACTATCTTACCACGTATTAAGCAAATTTAAAAAAAATCTCAGAGACTTGCTTCCAAGATGTGCCAAAAATGCATATGTATGTACATGTATGTATACATATAAACATTCAGAGATTTAGAGATTTGAAATTTGCTACGTAGGCCCTTCTAGTGCCCGATAACTTGTCCCGTTTCAAAGTAATCGATAGAAATCAAGATCACAATCGTGTTTTTTTTACCAAATTTAGTAAAAATTATGATCCAAGGTCACCCAAATTTACATGTAGCTGCTAGAATAGAATATATACGAACAATGCCTTCTCAAAGCTTCTAAAATATTCTTTGGTAACGAAAATAACTTGGTGGCAGAAGAGCACCAAAAAAAAGTTTAAATGCAGTTTTCTTTATTCATTCATTATTTTTACCTCACAAAAAAAGATATTCAATTGTTTAATAGTATAAAAGTTATAAAGGCAAAAAATTACACATGTACTATTCTAGGACTTAAGCTGCATACGATATGCAAAATAAGGTAACGGTAGTTTGTGAATGTTTATATGTATACATACATGTACATACATATGCATTTTTGGCACATCTTGGAAAAAGTTTGTGAGCATTTTTTATAAATTTGCTTAATACGTGGTAAGCATTGGGGAAGGGCAGCTAATTGTAAATAGAATATTCGTACAAGGTTAGATTAAAGAGTTTCATAATAAATGATTTGCGCGATGCGCTGATCACTGGTATAATAAGATAAGATAAGTCAAAATAAGTTAGTAGGTGTTATAGATTACAGATATAACGCTGGTCTTGGTTTTTTTGATTTGAATGGTTAACACTCTTCTTCTTTCAATTTAAATTTGGCAGTTTCAGCGATTGTGTACTTGTACTTTCGTTAAAAATGCTCATAAAAGTGGTTGTACATTGATATGTCGACATATTTTCAGCTTGTATCTAATCATTTTAGTGGTATATGTCAGTATATAACCATAAAGATATTTAGGCCCCATTTTTATACCCTGAACCCATTAAAAATGGGTATAAGGGTATATTGTATTTGTGCAAAATCCAAATGTATGTAACAGGCAGAAGGAAATATCTCCGACCCCATATATATAGTTTATAGATCCAAGTTTTAGGTATAATTCCAATTCAATTTTATACCACAATTCAGTTCTGTACATAACGTTTGACAAAAAACATACATTGCTCCGGCTTTGCCGTTATAAAAAACTTTCTTATTATTGATACAATCACTGAGCCACAAGGCCAGCGATACGAGAGTGAAGTGAAACTCCCAAAGTGATCATCGTAAGAAGATATCGTTTACTTCGGCCGACTCTGCTTCCCTTAATAGCGCAAGACGGCAACTTGATATTTGGCGCCCAACTCGTGGTAATAACGAAAGAAAATTAGCCACGCGAGCGTTCGTTAATAACTGAAACACGCTAACAAATACATTACCTGATTGCTGACCTGTGTCAATACAGGCAGCAACAGTGCAACAACTTCGCCCTCGTAAAGACCCATTGGCAAAAGTGCACCGAGGCCACTGGACAACGAAGGCTGCGGCGTTGGAGCTATCTGGACAGCGAAGACTGCGGCGTTGGAGCTTAATTCCCCTTTAGTAGTTGTCTTAGAATCATGTAAGTGGGCTTTTCCTTAACTCTTTTCAAGTCAATTCAAAAGAAATTTAAAAAAAAGAAGCACATTATATTTTGCATTACCTATTACTCGATTATAAATCTATAAAAAAAAATAATAATAAGTTATACGGCATTGAGAACTTTAATTGATAGATAAGCTCGATATTTGTCACTTGTATTTAAAGCAAATTGCAAGAACGCATATTATGTCGGCTTGCTTCCCACTCTATTCGTTAGTAACTTTGTAGTTAAACGCTCTGCCTTAACATGACACGCCAGCGTAGAGGAACTCACGCTTAATCATCAAAATATTGAATTGTTTATCTGTTGCGAAGGCATATGAGCTCTTCATTCTCACAATACAGAACGCCAGGCCACTGTTCAAGTGACTCAGAATCTGACTGTGACACTCAGGCCCTTATTCGCAGACCAAAACTGGAACCCGTTGTTCCCCCAGCGCCTAGCAACATGAACGCTGAACAACTCAGGGCAATAATGCAGACGGCCATCTCCAGCGCCTTACCTGAGCAAGCTGCTGCAAACCAATAGAGAGAACAAGAGTTAATTCAAAGAATTAACCAAATGTCTGAACAGATAGCGGCTGTGCGCATTACTACGTCAGAAGTGCAAACGTATGTGGCCACTGAAATAAACAATGAGATACGCTGCGACGAGCCACTTGACGCCGTCAAATGCTTGCGAGTTTACCGGAGCACAAGAATCTTATGTGTCGTGGCGGCAAGCAGCGCTGGCAGCCTATCAAATTTTCAAACCATATAATGGCAGTTCACGCCACTATCAGGCGGTTATCATTATCAGAAACAAGTTCAGGGGCCCTGCTGATGCAGTACTAGCTTCGTTTGGCATAGTATTGAACTTTGTTGCGATTATAAATCGCCTCGATTTCACGTATAGTGACAAACGACCCATCCATGTAATAGAACAGGAGTTAGGCACCTTGAGGCAGGGGGGCCTATCGCTACTTCAGTATTACGACGAAGTAGAAAAAAAACTGACTTTACTGACCAACAAGGTTAAGATGTCATATGAACCAATTGATGACGCATTGCGCGTTTTTATATCAGGTCTCAAACGCAACCTCACAGACGTGCTCTTCGCGGCTAAGCCAAAGGACTTACCCTCGGCACTCGCCCTTGCACAGGAGGTTGAATCTAACCATGAGAGATATGCCTTTGCGGCTAACTACGCTAGAAACCAGGAGGAAAAAGAGCGTAGACCAAGCACTAAAGTGCAGAATAGCCAGCAGGGTGAGCCACAGTCAAATGGCCAGAAATACCCACACTACAATAAGCAGGCCAGGACGCAAAGCCAAGCCGATCAAAAAAGCGGCAGACAACAGAATAACAATACGGCACCAGTGTCCATGGAAGTTGACCCTTCCATATCGAGGATGCTACAGCCCTCACAAGCCCTAGCTTATGTAAACAAGAGATCAGCCCAATCTGATCGCACAAGTGCTCAGAGAAAGCAGCAAAGGTTAAACCACATTGCGCAGGGCGCACCACGGGGGTCAGAGTCATATGCTACAGCCGCTGATAGTGCGGTGTCGCAAATTGACGACGATGGCAACAGCGATGCTGGTTCGGATGTGCTCAATTTTTTAGGAGAAAGTCCCTGCTACCTCTCATCCGACGAAGAGTAGCGGCGACTGATATGAAATTCCTCATCGATACGGGCGCGTCGAAAATTTTCATTCGACCATATGAAGGATTAAAAGGCGTTTGCCCGGTTGACAAAAATTTCACAATTCATTCAATCCATGGCACGACAAACATCACACAAAAATGCCTTGTGCCGATGTTAAATACAGAAGCTACATTCTTTATTTTACCAGATTTGTCAACATTTGATGGCATCATAGGCCTTGACCTGTTAACACAGGTAGGAGCCTCGCTTTGCTTAGCTTCAGGACAACTCAAGTGGGGTACGGAAGTCGAAAAAATCACCTTCCACACTTGTGCCAACGTAAATTTCACAAAAGTAGATTGTGCAGAGACACCGCTATTAGTTAAAAGTTCTTTCTTAAAAATGCTAAAGACCAGACAAAAGGCTTTTGCAGACCCAG